CCCCAAAACCCCAAAACCCCAAAACCCCGTTCGATCAATTTAGTGCTGGAAATCTAAATAAGAAATAAACAATAAAGGTTGTTCAAGCCAATGATCAAATATATGCAAGCATAAAAATCATCAGGTTGCTATCTAATGGATGGATCCATTCCTAATGATTATTTATTTAGAATCACTGCCAATCTTGAACTTAAAAGTAAACGTTTCCGCTTATGTTTGATCCTCGCGAAAGCAATGACAGTACATCATTGTTAAGTTTGCCTGATTCTCGACTGAATGTTATAAAATCGTTAAGTATTTGCTGATCCTTGATCGTAGTCTCACTCCTCTGTAGTGGGAAATTGTTTTTCCCCTCTCTGCTTCCACTAATTAATGACATCTTGTCATTGTAATGGTTGCCTCCATTATTTCCAGGTCCATCATACATCTAATTAGATATTTCACTGTTGCTTCGCTAGTAGATGAAGTTCATAAGATTTCCCAAAGACACAGGCTTGTTCCCTAATGAAGATGTTCTATTATTGAAGGATCCCTAATGCTGCTACTGTTGTTCTCCTTTTTATAGATATTGAGATATACCACTCATTCCACTAACCTTATTCGGATTCTTATCTATATGCTCATTGACCTAATCAGCAATTTATGAGACAATATCCATTCTCGAGCTATAAGATGATCTTTGATCAAATATCTAGTTGTTTTTAGTTTATTCTTCAAAGTTTTTCTCCTCATCCTCAATTGAAAATCTCTACATTTCATCTACAAGTTTATTGACTTGATCTGAGGAAATAGCCATTCTGTTAGATTTTTGTTCCTTGTTTGGATTAAAAATTGAATCTAAACTTTCTCTATTCTTTTATGCCTTATGCTCCTGCTCGTCCTTCAAAACTTCATCAGATAGATTTTTGGGTCTATGGGAACTTGGTTGAAAGATTTATTTTTTAAAAGAATTATGCTGCATATTCCTCCATTCAATAAATTACTCTAGCTCTTCATTCGATATTTGAATCAAGCTAGGATTGACTAAAGATTGAGCGATTTCATTGCTAATGATGCTCTAGTTATCAGTGTTTTATTACTAGTTATTGTATTTCTCCATTTTAGTAACCTCAAAAAGTTTTTCAACCTTTTTAGACGAGACACTTTGCATAGCTTAGTTTTAGGAGGATAGGCTTTTTTCAGTTTACCGCATTTCATAAGATGATGAACTCAAAGAGTTCTCATTATTACTTTCAAACTTTTGAGAATAGGTATAGTTCTTCGGAATTAATGTCAAAGGATTAGGTGAAGTCTTGTCCTTGAGTATTGCTGATCTAGCTGTTTGAGTTTAACTAGAAAATTTCCTTTTAACTTAAAATAGCATTTGTTTCTTGTACTATTTAAAATAGATTTAATAAGGTCTGAAATAAAAAAAGAGATTTAAACTTACACTTTCCACATCGGATATACTCGACTTATCCTTTTAAATAGCTTTAGTTTTACTGCTCATAAAAATGATATTTTAAGGAGCTTCAGTTTCTGTTTTTTTACTGTGAAATCCTCTCATCCTGCTGTTATATTGCATCAAGACATTGTAGATATCTAGATTTTTAATGTTTTTCTTTTGCTTAAGCTTATTAAAATATTTCTGAGCATGAGATCTTACTTGCTACTCATTCCTAGTCTTAACATGCTCAAAAACTTTGTTCCAGTTCTTTCCATACTTCCTTAGTGCTTCTAAAAATTTAGCATGCTCTTCCTTTGTCCATCTACCGTTATTCACTTTCTATTCTAGCAGCTAGTTGACTTAGAATACAATTTCTTTAGTCCTTTAGGTATTTCTATTAGGATTGTGAACGTTGACGCCTGATCTGTACTTGCCTAAGTCATCCTAAATATTCGAAGGATGGCCTTTAGAAAATGAGCTCATGCTGTCGAAAGTGATCTAAGGATCCTGCATTATTGTACTTTGTCCTTGTACTTCGCTCTTAATGCTACCTGAATTATCCACAGATCTACTTTTTCTTTATTGATTTTCACTGATTGACTGTCTAATACTTTGCTTCGACAAATCCAAATCTGTTGAATTGATTAGCTAATCAAAGGGTATGGATTAAGTTTCTTGTTTCTATTTATAGTTTCTGATTACGAAGCCATCTCTTCGCTATAAGATCTATACTTTTGTAAATTCATCAAAACAAATACATCTTTTTTGTAGATAATGTGCTTCTTCTATTATATCTTTTAAACTTCAAATTCAGCATTATATTGTTAAGATCCTTAAAATGATGATAAGTTTGATTATAATCTACCTGATATGTCCTTTCTTTGCATGCGATTTTAGGCTAGTAATATTTAAAAGTTTTTTTAATTACAATCTTATATTTATTGCTATCGAAGCTTTGCTTATTAATTCTTAGATTCCTCTGAGATATTCATTACTAATCTATAATAATTTTATCTATCTTTCTATATTATTTTAATTTTATTAGCAGAATTCTTATTACCAGCTCACTTATGATTCAAATGTCATGATGGGGTTTTGGGGTTTTGGGGTTTTGGGGTTTTGGGG